GAGGAGAAGAGCGGGGGACTTATTCCTAATTTTACCTGACTTATTTAATTTATTTTTTATTGTTTTTATCGTCCTGCAGGCTCTGATGGAAAATTAATTTGAAGCTGAGGTTTTTTTATTTTTATTTTTATTTAAAATCGTTAGATTACTCTAAAGCAAATGAGGGAAAATCTGTGTCAGTTACAGACATTCTGTTCACGTGAGCAGCTGTCAGTCAGCACCTGTCATCCTCCAGACACACGACGGAGCGTGTCTGAACCAATCRCKTTTGTWGRCATTGATCAGCTGACTGATTTAAATACATCTTAACATTCATGAGGTACTTTACATTGACTGTTTATGGTTGAATGTGGGCGTGGAGAGGGTAGAACCTGAGGCGGGACCTCGTGCGCAAACTCTGACGTGCGGCTGTGATTTATAAATGAAAGATGCGCAGAAACGTGCGTACGTACGGTTTTATAAATCTGAATTTTTTTTTGGCGTACGCCATTTCCGCCTTTTGGCCGTACATTCACTTTTAGTATGGTTTCCACGCAATCCTTTATAAATGAGACCCCAGGAGTTTAGGCCATGCTGATTTCTGGTTCTGCCAGAAACTAACAAATGATGCACCAAAAAAATAATAATAAAAAGTTTCTCTTTGCTTTAATTATAAAAGTTAACAAACTAAAAATAAAAAAATATAGATGGAGGAGGACAACAGAGCTGCTTCATGAATGAAGAACCTCAACTTAGCCTGTTAGCTTTAGCGTTAGCCTCGATGCTATCACCATGTATATATGTATTAGCTCAGCGCTACACATTCTCCTCTCATTACTGAGGTCCTCCATCCACATGACAGAGAGGGGAACGCAAAAATGACTCAGCCTGCAACTGAAAATATGGATGGAGGACCTCAGTTTAGCTTGTTTGTCGCGCTAGCGCTGAGCTAATACATATAAGGCAGTAAAGTGTTGTCGCTAGTGCAAAGTCTAACCGGCTAAGCTGAGGTTCTTCTTCCATGAAGCAGCTCTGTTGTCCTCCATCCATATTTTCAGTTACAGTCTGAGTCATTTCTACCTTCTCCTCTCTGTCAACGCTCTCTGGTTTCATTTAAAAGAGCCAATTGTCAGATATTGTCCAAGATTAACCTTCAGGGTGGATATAGCTCGCTCACACTGAGGACCTATCGACATCATCATTTACCCAGAATGCTTTGTGTGTAAATAAAATGGCCCCGTCCGTGTAATATATTTTTAAACCTTTAGTTTAAAAATTTTAAAAACTAAACAGGCTACAATATTTTTACAGTCTTTATTTTACAGTTAAAATACTGTATATGTTTATTAAATAAAGTCTAATGTTACAACTAGTCATGGATCCCTTTAATACATAAGCCTAATACATCCTGTAATAAAATGTAAAGCGCTTTTAAAAAGGCCTCTGAAATTTGCTGAAGTTACTTGGATACAAGCAAAAGTGTGGCCCTCCAAAACCAAAGTGAGTTAACTTGAGGTACATCAAGAATAAATCTCTCTCACTTCTCAGACACTCCTGAAGCCTCCAGTGAAGCTTGAGCCTGGGACAAGCGTTCCTGGAGCGTTTCAAACTCTTTCCTCAGCGTCTCATACTGAACCAAAGGGACTGAGTCCAGGCTGGGGGCCTGCATGTCTGTGTCATCTTTCTCAAACATCTCCAGCATCTGGACACAACATGGACGGACATGATGTCATCAAAGTATACTTGGTATACTGGATACAGAATCAGTAATGAATACATGTGTACAATCTGAATGAACAATTAGGTTATGCATTGTAGTGAAATTTAATGAGGAAAGATATAAACTGACCAGCATTAAAGTGACAAGTTAACATTCAGTCTACACAACATGGCAAATTATATCAAATCCCCAACTTCTCTTTCAGTTTTAGTCTCACAAGTGATGTAGCTTTTTCTCAAGCTAAAATCCTTCTTTTATGAGCAAAACAACCAGGTTTTGTCTTGTCTGACCTCACCTGCACTTTAAGAACGAGCTCAGAGTTCTGTGACGTTAGCTGCTCTATTTGCTTCTGCAGCTCAGCAACTTGTCCCGGGTCCGCCGAGGCAGCAGAGGGGCCGGCTGAGTCCATTTGGGAAGTGGCCTCTTCATGAGCAGGGGATGCTCTGGAGCGCTTCGAGAGCAGTTTCTCTTGAAGACAAAGAGACCACAGTGAAAAGAAACCAGTGTACTGCCTGGTGAGGCTGATGCAGGTTTAGCAGAAACACACGTGGAGGTGTGAGGTCTGTGAAAGTACTGCAAACCTGGGAAGTCCAGCATTTCATCCATGTCCTCAGAGTCACTGGCCCCAATGACGTGGGACCCCTTGAGCTCTTCAAGCAACTTGTCCCTCTCTGCCTCAGACTCTGCCAGGCGCTGCTTCAGCTGGGACAGCTGTGGCACATCAATGTGAAACGGTGTTTCTAACTTCTCTTTATAAAAACAGAATATTTTCAGATCTGTCAGCATTGAACTGGTCTAAAGAAAATCTGTAGGAGACATAAGTTATGACACCTCCTCCAGGGCAGAGAGAGCACTTTGCTGCTGCTGCTCCAAGGCTTTGATCCTCTGAAGGAGTCGGCCTCTCTCAAGGCGCAGCCGTCGGATCTCCTCAAACACCTCCTCGTCCTCTGCCTAAAACCCCAAACACAGAAAATCAAACTGGGAATGCATTTTATGTGATGTGACAAGAAAAAAAAAACATATTAACAACACTAACCTGGGCCGATTGCTGGGTTTCTTGCGGCAGCGGGGAAGGAGACTTTGATTTTGCGGGCACAGGGGACAGGGCAGGAGGAGCTGGACTCGGAGACTGAGCCGACGGTTGCGAATCCTGGATCTTTAAGATTAAAAAAAGTTAATAAAAAGTGTAATTTTCACAGATGCAACTTGAAGGGAATAACTACAGTTAACGATGACTGAGAATGTGGAAAAATGTTTTCTTTTCTTTCCTTTTGTTTAACCTAAAAAACCAACATTTGTTGAACATCATTTGTTCAGTATTATTTAACACTTTATTATGTATCCACCCTATTTTTGAACGCCAAAGTAAATGGGTGCAACTTCCGTTCTTTTGTGCGGCACTTGAGTTTCGCTGCTTTCCTGGGCTAACTAATAACAGCTTAACTAAATAGGGACCCTCACTCAGGCTATCTTTAGAACATAAGCCACATGACCATGTGGTGGTGCGTGTACAAACTCTCAGCTCCATTGATTTCAATGGAGCGGTGCTGATTTAGCCGTGTTTAAACTTAAATAAATTTGAGAAAACAGCATCAAGTTTCACCAGGAGGACCACAAAACATTGTGCTATAGCTTTTATAACAGTGACTCAGGATACAGCCATCATCCTCATGTAGAAGGAGTATTTTTTTGTCACTTTTACCAGGCAAAGAAGAAGGCTAACAGCTGGATTCGAGTGATGGGATGAGCCAAATTTGACCAGAAAAAGTGCAACCATGTATTTAACGTCTGCTCCAAACATTTTATCAGAGTTAAAAGACCGACACTGGAAGACCTAGATCTGATTTCTGGTTCTAGGTATAGCAATCCTTACAATGTTTTTGCTGTAGCCTGCTAACTTTACTTGTAGCATCTATATCCTCCTATACTAGCCTCATATACAGTGCAGTCAGTCACACACATGGTGATAATAGAAATTCTAAACATCACCATCAAGTTTCTTTGGAAGCGGTGGCTTGAGTGACAAAAATACACACAGAGACACACGTGATAGATGTGGCATGTTAAAAGAAGACCTTGACCCTCCAGCCAACCTTTCAAATAAACGTGATTCCTGAAGTTGGATGTGTTGAAATTTGCTCTAGTCTTTTTTCTGTAATGGTATTAACACTGACTCTTCGTAGAGTCCGCTCCGATTGTCCTATCATTTGAGAAAGCGGCAGATAATGTATGTAAATGACATCGCAAGTGAAGGTCCCCACTGGTGAACTATGTTGTGGGTAGGCCTGTCACGATAACAAATTTTGCTGGGCGATTAATTGTCTCAAAATTTATTGCGATAAACGATAATATTGCCTGGTGACCGTTTTACAACTAATAATTATWHAAGCRTAATRTGTAAGTGTAATAAATCAATAAACTTTCATTTTTAAAAGAATGTTTAACAAAGTGGACTCTCAGTCTCTAACAAAAAATGCACTTGAATAAAAAAAAATAAAACAAAGAACAACAAAATGTAAATTAAACACCACACACTACTAAGACAGTAAATAAACAATAAGCAAACTACACAGCCTGGTGAGGACCCACTGTTTCTTATGGGGACATAAGACCAGTTCACATCCCATGTAAAGTTTAGGCTAGGTTTAGGGTCAAATGGTAATAGGAAATACTGGTAAATGAATGAAAGTCAATGCAAAGTCCCCATGAGGATAGAAGAACAAACGTGTCTGTGTGTGTGTGTGTGTGAGGAGGGGACAGTCAGAGCGCTGTGGGGGAGGAAATCAGACAGTTCAGAGTTTTCCTCATGAGTTGTTGGGACAGCTACAGGCTTTTTGGGGGTTTTGTTAAAACACAAATGGTGCGTTTAAGTTTCCTGTTATTTTTGGGAACTACAGGTAAAGTCTTGACGAGTTTGTTGCGGGTCTGGGGGAGTTTCAGCCCCCACCCCTTCTCCTCCTTCTCTCTCTCTCTTTCTCTCTCTCTCTGTCTCTCTCTCTCTGTCTCTTTCTCTCTCTCTCTCTCTGTCTCTCTCCGTCTCTCTCTCCCTCCCTCCCTCCACAGCGAAATCCAGGCCCTAGTTCTCCGACACTTCTGCAGCCGCGTTCTGCTTTGAAGCGTTTATTTAGCAACGAGCTATCACGCTAAAGCGAGAGTTGACTCCTCCCACACTAAGAAAACAGGAGGGGAGGGGTCAGCTGAGCTCCTGTGTAGCGGAGCACAGAGAGGGAGAGAGACGAAGTAAAAAAAACAAGCAGGAAAATGAAACTTATCGCCGTCTTTTTTTTACCGACCTCAAAAAAAGTTATCGTGCAATTAATTGATTTATTGACTATCGCGACAGGCCTAGTTGTGGGAACATTTCCAAAAACTTCTGAACAATCGAATTGGCAAGTCAACGGGAGGATGGTATAAAAAATGGCCTCACATAAYGTATACATTTTTAACTATTGTGTTGTCACTTGGTGCGGATGGGTCTACAGTGTGCCATTACAAAAGTAGAGAGGCGTATCAGTACCTCCACAGTGGAAAAGTTGGCAAGGTATTAAACAATAACAAAATTGATGCCTTGGTATTCATGAAGGCTGATGTCCAACCAAGCCAAAGCAAGTCTGATGTTCATTCTGCATGGACCCTCATTACATCAACCGGTACTACTGAGACGGCTGGGTGTTTCTGTGTCGCGGGTCAGGGGAAGTCCTGCAGTCATGCAGCGCCGATATTATGGAACGTAGACTAATAAAAAACCGTCTGTTTCCATATAACTGCAACGTCAAGGACTAAAATGCATTAAAAATAGAAAATACGATGAAAAGTTACTTAGCAAGCCTGTGACTGGAAGTGCCGGACTGGAAGTCTCACACAAAAAAACGACTGTTCGTATCTCCGTTAAAAATAAGGTGGATACAGTTTACATTAAAGTTGTAAAGTTTGTTGGTTATGCTGTAAGGCTGTGCATATGATGAAACACAAAATGCCTCCCATCCACCGTGGTGATTTTCACAGTACCTGGAGTGGAGAGCGTGGCGGCGGCGGAGCTTTCCGTTTGCGGGGGGTAGTCCCCCCTTGCATTGATGAGGCGCCTGAAGGGGGTTGAATGGGCTGCGTGGGGGTGAGAGGGGGATCACTGACAAGCAGAGCTCAAGCTCAACTTAAACAGGAAAAATAAAATGGAGGAAACCCAGATAAGACAAGAGGTCAGCAACAAAGAGGAGAGAAAGCCAAGAGAATGAAAGCAGCACGCAAAAACAATGAGCTCATATTGGAAAACATGCACAATATGATGGGCTGAAGTGAGCCATGATCTCACTGATGGAGGGAGCGATGCAACGTACTGCTTTGCAACATTACCTCGGCACATGTGCCCTCTGAAGCTTTGTGGGAGGTGGGGTGAAGAGGAGATACATTAAAGGTCTTAAGATCATAGCAACATGTAAACCCAATTACACACATGAACTAATATATCCAGACTTCATGTGGGCACCAAATCCTCTCTTCTATCAACATGTTTTTGTGTTCAGGCCAACGGCACATCTGTTTTTCATATATYAGCAGAGTCTTTGTTGGGAGATAAAAGTGAAACAAGCCTCTCGTGTCTTTTTTTTTTAAAACCTCGCTGAACACACACCCAGCTGTTCTCCTGAATCACTTTCTCCTCATAARGTCACTTCCTGGGGGAGCAGCATGAAGCACAGCTACAATCAATAGCTGCATGTCAGGTCTGCTTCACGTGAACAAGAGTCGCTTCATGGATTCATTCACAAAACTTAACTAGATGTATTTTTTATAGAGAAGTTTCAAATGGTCATTGAGGAAGTGAATGTAAAACAACAGCTAAGACTAAGTACCTGGAGGTACTCCATCCTGTAACATTTGAATGATGTGCTGGTTGCCTGTGGTTGCACTGTAGTCGGCAGCATTGTGACCGAGGGAGTCAACCAGTTGTGTGCTGGCTCCGCCTCTCAGGAGAGCCTCAACGGTCTCAACGCTGTCGCTCTCACAGGCCAGCATCAGAGCAGACCTGTTATACAACGTTAGAGAACATCAGGGTCATACAACATCACTTAAAATGGGAAAACCAATGCAAGTTACAAGTATAATGCAAGTTTTTTTTTTTTTTTTTGGTTTCTTTCTGCTTTTGTACTTTGTGTAAGCAGCTCACTTAGCAAAAAGCGAGGTATGGTTTCAGCATTGGATTGTTGGGTTATACGATAGAAAAGAAAAAGGCCCTAATTGATTTAATAATGCAGCTAGAGTAGGTTTGGTCATTTTGTTGTTATACAGAAGACAGACTTCTCATTAGTGTCTCCAAGCTGCTGTCTAGAGACAAATTGAAATCTGGTGCTCCCAGCTGGAGCTTCTGACCCACATCCTCCAAATCTCTCCCAGATACTCCCATCTGTTGAAATGTTTTATGGGAATCTTTCTGCACCTCGACCCGGACCAGGAGTGGGCAACTTAAATGATAAAAGTGGAAGTCACCCGCAGGTCAGATGAGGCCCATGCTGCCAGTTGCCCATCCCCGACTTAGACTAAAAGGATAATTCCATTTGTTTTTTTTTTTCAATAAAGTCCATCCACTTGTCTGATKGTTCCTGCTCAGTACTGAGCTGGACTGGTGATTCACGGTGCGGTTCAGTACCTGCCTTGGTTGTCCTGTATGTTTGCATTGGCACCTCGACCCAACAGAAAGGCACACAGCTCCACCCTGCTCATCTGTGCCGCTAAGATCAGCGACGTGGCCCCTTCCTGAAAAAACATGCATCATCCAAACATCATGAAGCAACTTCTGTTCGCTTCACTCAGTGATACTGCATCAAACCTACACTGTCCTGGGTGTCCAGGTTGGCCTTAAAGTCCCACAGGGTTTCTGTGCACGACAAGCAGCCACTGATCGCTTTAGGATTCAATCAAATGCAAAGTTAGAAAGATTTACATCCACTTTGTATATCACATTTCTTAACACTACCTTTTTTAAGATTAAAGTATAAGTTTGGTATTACTGACTGATGAGTTGTTCTGTACCTGCATGATGAAGCGGTGTCCTGCCAATTCTGTCTGTGCCATCTACTTCCAACCTCTCCTGTTGGAGATGAAACACCAAAAAGATTCCATTTATCTTGTTTTGGAAATGATTTAGAGAATTTATTGATGTCATCTCTGTTAATCTACCTGCAACAGTCTCTTTAAACACTCTGACTGGCCATTTTTGGCAGCGAGGTGAAGGGCGCTGAGGCCTAGAGTCATTCAGGTAGAAAGAGAAGATTAAAAACAAAACATGACACAGGCTATTCTTAGCTTACAGAATTATTATATTTTTTCATTATCGAATGCCGTACCAGCCCCATCAGTGACGCCGAGGTCTGCTCCATTAGAGATGATTACCTCCAGGCAATCCAATCGGCCTTTGGATGCGCAGAGATGGAACCTGTCAGGTGGAACGAATAATACAAATTGTAAAATAAAGTTAGCTGATAATTACAGGCCTGGTTGTTCAATTCCATTATTCATTAGCCATAAAGAAAAGCATTGATGGTCATCAATTTTTTTGATTGTTTTTGTGTCTCTCGGGGTCTAGAGCAGCGTTCTTCAAGCCTGGCTCTTGAAGGCCACTAACCTTCATGTTTTAGTTGTTTCATTGCTCTTCAGCAGGTCTTCAAGACTATTCTTCACTCATTCATTCAAATCAGGTGTGTCAAAACAGAGAAATATTAAACCTGCAGGATAATGAACCTCTTGGACCAGTGTTGAGAACCATTGGTCAAAAGTTTCTTTCTATCGGTCTGACTGTCTGTCAAGCACATTACATGTATGAATCATAGGTTAGATTGTTTTTTCAAGTGTCTGACAACATGATGGACAAGATTCCAAAAGATGTAGATAAAGTATGTGTCCTCAATTTAAAGAAGTTCTGACAAAGAGTTGTGTTTTCTTGAAATTGTGTTGGTATCCATCCATCCATCCATCCATTTTCTGTACACGCTTTTTCCTTTTCAGGGTTGCGTGGGTCACGTGGATCCCTATGGTCCATGGTAACTAGGGCTGTRCATTGGAAAAACAATTGATGATATGACAAATATCACAACACAGGAGTGACGATATTAAACAGTATATCATGATATATTGCGATGCTGTAAGCAAGGCAATATATCGCCATTTTTTTCACCAAAAGTGTCTAGTAAAAAAAACTCAGTATAAAGAGCACACCATGCATTACACGCATTAAATCTGATTTAATCCTCAATTAAAAATCCACACAGTGCTTTTGAGAATCATTACAGTATCAGGAAATGAAACATCACAATATATCAGCGCATCGATATTTTCTTACACCCCCACAAGTAACAAAACTAACCCATTACAATATAAACAGCTCAAATTACTAGAAATGAAAGGGATCATTCCTTTGCAAATAAAACATTTGTATACAAGAACAAAATCGCTTCTAGAGCTTGACAACTCACGCTGACTTGCCCTCAGCATCCAGCTTGGTGGGACAGAGACCTTTTTTGACAATAAGTGCTGAAAGTTTGTTGGGTTCATTCTGTTCCACGGCCTGCAGGAGTCTTTCATCACTCTTGCTCCACTCCTGACTCTGTGGGGTCAAAGGCAACGAACAGGTCACTACTGTCTCAGTGAAACTAGAAAACACACTGCAGATGGAACTAGAAGACCGGTTCAACAGTCCAGCACATGCAATTTATCACACAAAGAAACTTTTAAATTAGATCTGAGAGAAACACAAATGAAACCTAAAAATAGATGTTATTTATGTTTTTTTTTAAATAGAAACAGAGGATACCTACTGGCAGCGGCAGAAGACTGAGACAAGGACAGAACCGCTTCATCAGGCTAAAAACAGGCTGCTGAGGATCCATACTGCTAGCAGGRCATCAAACCCAGCTAAATACTGACAGAGTGTGCAAAAGCACCACTGCGTGTCCTACCTGACACTAAAGCCACCTGGCCTTCTCAGGTCATTTAGAGAAATCAAAGGAAGATAACCTTGAGGTCAGACACATGCCGTCTTTAAACCCTACAACTCAAAATCACTCACCGCACAAAAGATAAACTGTGACACACACACACACACACACATAGACACACACACATGTCTATACACCCTCCCCTGTCCACATTTACATCAGCATCCTGTCGCCCAGCTCCGGCTGCTTGCTATGACCTTGTTGTTTTTTTATCCACCAACAGCACCTCCCTCCTCTCCTCTCACTGCCCCCGTTTCCTTAACCTAATAATTCCCCTGCTGTGGTGAGTTACCTTCTTCTCCCCGTTAGTTTTTTGTCAAGTCCCGCACAGAACGCACCCTCCCCTCCTCCCAGCCTCCCTGCAGCACTGTGGGTTTGTTTCTCTGCAGCTGCAGAATGAGGACTCAGCAAAAAGAAGCTGCCCTGCTGSTTTTGGATGGCAGAGGGGAACATGCTGAGGTAGTTTCTGTCCGTCTGTCAGTCATTAAGTGAAACAACTAGGCATCATCAAAGCACATCCTTTGTGTTAGTGGTGATTACTGGATTTGGTTTGCGGAAAGCATCGTCCACGCCTCATAAACCATACATTAATTTTGAAGAGACTTCTTTATAGTTAAACACAACATATATCAACTTATAAGGAAAACAGAAACAGAATAATCCATTTCTCTTTCTGTCACCTATTGTTTACGTTCAATTCAGCCCCACAGTGGCAATAAGATGACAGAGGGGAAGTAGGATTTCTTTGTGTGCCTGAGTTAGTATATGCATGTGAATAATTAAAGGCTACCTGAGATCACTGGTTATCGCAGCAGGCTGGAGACAGACCTGCTCTCCTTCTGTTTAGTGACATTAAATCCTGGTCCTCCTCCCCACCCCACCCATCCAACTCATACAGCAGCAAAAAGCCAAGTGGAACATTGTACAAGTGATGATTTTTGGGATGAACCAAAACTAGCCTGTATACAAAGCAAAGTGGGAAAAAAATACCAGCATGACATAACAAAATAAATAAATAAATAAAACTCTTACCTCATTCTTTTTAAACTTTGCTTTTAGACTTTTCATAATGGCTTATTGCTGCAATCAACAAAATGAAAAACAAAAGTATTTCATTAGAAGCTTCCTTGTGGCTTTTACTGTAAGCGGATTTTAAGGACTCGCTGATCAGCTTTATAAAACCCTCTAAAACTTATTATTTAATGCCTAAATGGCCAGATTCCCCCAGGCGCTCAGTAACCCTGTGGTCAGAGTCACAGGCGTAGTGGAACATCTTCTGGGAACTGTAAAGTGCCTTTACATAAATCCTCTCTGAGACAAACTTTACAATGGATTAACCAGAGGAATTCCCTGCAGATTTTGAAACTTTTGATGTTATTACTCATTTATTTTTGCTTTGTATTGCCTGGGATTTATAAGTGTTGTGCTTTGCATTGTTTATTCTGAGCTGTCTGAGTTTGTCTAACTAAAAGGCACATTTGAGTAAAAAAAAAAAAAGCAATAGGCTATAAATGCAATAAATTAATAATAAACTGGTCTAAACGACATGACGCTGTCTATATTTCAAATAACATTACCAAMCAAATAGTACACAATAATACAGCATGTGTATTAAAAATGCAGCTACCTCGTTATTGAAGAATGTGCCGCCTACCTGTGGAGGTCTGTGCAGGTCCAGGTGTTGATTCTGTTCTGTAGGCAGTTCGCAGTAAAATACTGAAGTCACTGCTGTCTGACACTGCTCCCGCCTTRATCCCAAATCAACCAATCAGAGGAGCGCATAACTCCGGACCAGCGTTTGATTGGCGGTGATGAATGGGCTATCTGTCGCGTGCGTTTTAAGACAAGTGGAGTGTGTCGTTGTYTTAAAAATAAACTGAGGGCTGTGAATATAGAACATAAAAATGTCAAACTTAGCGTGTATTTCCAGATTATTTACTTCACTTTTTAACTCGAACAGAAGACGGGAAAGTAATTTTTTGCACTCGCTGAAACGTCACAGGGAGTTCCACCAATGGCGACACGGAAGCAGCTGGACCCGGAAGTAGAGTGAAAAATAGACTTGAAACTAGTTTAAAATCTCCTAAACTAGCCTAATAGTGCACTTATCACAGAGCAGAATAGCAGAATAGCAATATTTAGTGGTAAAAAGTCAATTATTAAGCATTACAGTTTTAGATTGCTTAGATTTAGTTTGGATTGTTCGTTTTATAAAACTTTTATTCTTTTCAGTCTGACCATTTCAATATGACTCTTATGAGTAATGAGTAAATAAAACAAGTTGGGACCTTTTCTTCAGACTCCATTTTTTCCAGATTCACAAATGTATGTGAGGAGAGTGGCAAACACTTCAAACAAATAGAAATTTGGCCCCTCTAATTTTTCAAGTGTTGAATACATCAACAAAAATCACAAAAACTTGGCTATTACATAAAATGGGTCTTTGTTTTGCTTGCGTCCTTCATCTCCTTTTGAACCCAACATGTAAAATATGTGTGCTTGAATCATTTTTCATTTTTTTCATTGCTTGCTCACACTGAATTGTTGACATGAAGATGGTTTGGTGAGTTGTGACTCAGTGTCTAATGGCAATGTGTCTGTGCCCTCTGAATTTTATCATTTCAACTCTTATGTTGACGAAAACAAGAATATGGGCTGTTTCCTGTTCCTTGTGGTCATGAGATGCCTGCTTAATTACTGGCAGAAGACTTAGCAGAGTCACGTGCAACTGATTGTGCAAGTTACCATCAACAATTTGCTTGAGCACGTGAAACTGATCAGTTCAGTTCTGTTTATAACAGCGCTGGTTTTCAATTAGTCTTCTCAAAATCCAGGTTTTATGCAGGACAGTTCTGTACAGTGCCCAAATCGAGTCCTCAAGGGCTGTTATCCTGCATGTTTTACTTGTTTCTCTGCTTCAGCAGACCCAATTTAGTGACTAAATTACCTCTTCAAGTTCTGCAGAAGCCTGCTGATCACCCACTTATTCATATCAGGTGTGTTGAAGCAGAGAAACCTGCGAAACATTCAGGATAGTGGCCCTCCAGGACCAGGATTAGACATCCCAGATCTAAATCGTCACAGTTAATTATAAAATGGTCAGTTCTAAACAAATGTTCAGATAAGGAACCAAACAAATAAAATCCAATTTAAGGTTTGAGGGGAACAACAGGAGAATCACATCTGTGAGGGACTCATGCAGTACACACAAGCCACCAAATGAGGGCAGTCAATACAAAGCAGATGAAATTATAGCAATCTATCAGGTTTGTCTTTAAGTTGAGCTCCCAAAAGGATTATATTTAAACTTGTGGCTTTGAAAGATTACCTTTTTCTATGTGTGCCAGTGCACGTGAACGTTTAGATCTGCTGAACTACAATAAAACATTTTCACCATTGATACTGGAAGACAATATTAGAATGAAGCCAATAAAATTCAGAGAAAACATTCCATCCATTTTTAGCATCTTTTAATGAGAGAGTGTTAATGTTGCTCTAAAAAAATCCCAACGCTTCTTGTTGTTTGTGTTGCCTTTTTTTAAAAGTTTAATTAATTTTTGCAGCTCTTATGCAACCGTTTTCTTTCCATCCCCAAAACACTGAATGGCTGTAAATCTGTCACATGTTTGTCTTCTACTGTCTCTCACTGAGAAATCCCCCCCATCTTCACATGTCCTCCTCRGCCTTCCACATTTGTCATCTCTCATTTTCCAGTCATTATGTTTAGTTTTCGATTCCATAAAGTTCTGATTCTTGCGTTGGATGGAATGGACACTTACATTAAATACAAACTGAGCACTGCTGGAGGGTTACAAGGAGGTGTTAGATCAGGAGCGTCAAACTCGTTTTCATYCAGGGCCACATCATGAGCATCATGGTAGCCCTCATGAAAAGTAACATTCCTCATCTCATCACTATAGCTGAACACTGCTAACGATATTTTATTTCAAGAAAAAAAATAGCTCTGAAAAGTACTACGTGGCTGACTAATCATGAAATAAATACTATAAAAAGTAAATGTAAGAGTTTTACTCACAGCTGAGTTGTGGTGAGTAGTTGCCATCTTGAATTCTGAACTCTCCCTCTTTCCAACAAAGAAATCTCACCGGAAGACTCATTCCAGTTTAAATTCACGACTTGTAAGTGGGWAATTCCCACTTCCTAGTGCAACTGGACTGCAGCAAAAGTAGTTGGTGTAAATAGCTACAGCAAAATTAAGATTTTACACAATCAACTTTGTTGGTTGCCAGGTACTTTTGAACTCTGTGAACCTAGTTGCGGGGGGGGGG